CCTTTCCGGCGGGGCCCGCTCTGCTCCGCGCCTCCTTGGCCCCGTGACGGCGGCCTCAGGGCTCAGTCAGTTGCCCTCAGCTGCGTGTGCTGGCCTCGCGCTAGAGGCCAGGTGGCTGCGGGGACATCTGCCGCAGGGCAGGGGCCCTGGACTCCTGGGCCTCCCGAGTCCACGCCCAGCTCAGCCGGCCGCAGTGTGTCTGAGGGTGTGTGTCTCGCGCTGTCTGGGGCTCAAGTGCCCTGTCACGGAACCTGGACTTTGAGAACTGGCCCGTGGCTGGCCCACCCCATACTCACAGCCAGGGCCCTTGCTGAGTGGCCCCCGGGGCCCCTGGACACCGTCCTGCCCAGGCAGGCCACCTGTCCTGTCCGCCGGGCGTGGGGCCTGGGCTCCTCCGTGGCCTTGGGAGCCCAGGGCGGCGTGCGGGCCTCGCGGGGTGGCAGGAGGACGCGGTGCCGGGGCCTGGCGAACGGGTCTGCCTCTCTTCCAGCCAAGGGGAGCATCGTCTTGAAGTACGAGCCGGACCCCACGTGAGTGACGCCCCGGGAGCACCGCGGGGTGGGGGTCGGGGCGCTGTTTGCACAGGGCTCGCGCTCAGCTCAGGCCAGCGCCTTCTCCGGAGCATGAAGTGCCCAGTGCCTGCCCTCTGCAGCCTCAGAAACCTAGTTCTGCCTCCCGGCTCGGGCAGGAGAGCAGTGCCAGGCAGCCATGGGGGCTGACCCCACCTACTGTGGGGTGCCCTTCCGGGGGGGCACGTCCACCTGGGGTCAGCATGTGACCACGCCCCTGGGCCTCCTGAGCGCCCGGAGGAGGGCCCCAGCGGTCAGGGCGGGGCCTGTCCAGGCCGTCCTGGGCTGTGCCGGGGGGCGAGGGCAGAGCGCGGGGGGCCTCTCTGGTGAGAGATGGGGGAGAGGTGGCTGGCGCCGGGCGGGAGCTCACCGGGCCGCTGGTCGCAGGCAGCCCGACGCCCTGCAGTGCCCCATTGTGATGTGCGGCTGGCGGGGGAAGGCCTCGGTGCGGACCTTCGTGCCCAAGAACGAGCGGCTGCACTACCTCAGGATGATGGGGCTCGAGGCGCTGGCCGAGAGGGGGAAGGACACGCCGGAACCCGCGGCCGACGCCGGGCGTGGGGAGGAGCCGGCCCGG